AAAGACTACAATATGGTATATATGCAAGTACATATATAGTATATATTAGTAATTCAAGATTGAATTATTTTAAAAAGCAACGAAGATCCAGCTTCGACCGTAATAGGCATTTAAATTTCTAGTATTGATTGTGTTTCTCACATATACGGTCTAAAAATAAAAATATTGTTTATGTGATTCTGTTGTTTTGTAGCTTGCGAATAAATACTGGGCACCACACACCACAAACACACATCTGGCGTTCAACTCGCAAGTAGTGGATGACATTTATGTACAGGAAATATGTGCGTCCAAGTTCTCTGTCCGGAGGATCATGATGCTAGAGTTCAGCCAGTACTTGGAGAATTTTCTCTGGTCAAATTACAAGGCAGAGAATGCCACGCGGGAGCACACCATGTCCATCGTCGTCATGGTGAATGAAAAATTTAGGGAGCGGGTGCAAGTGTGGGAGGCGTTTGAGAAGAATCCGGCAGAGTTCGCCGGATTTTTTCAAAATGTTCTCGAGGCGTGCTTGGAAGAAAGTATAATGGACTTCAATCTGAAGGAACAGACGGCGTTGATAGTATTCTTGAATCATTGCTTCAACTCTATGGAAGTATCTTTGGTTCGAGAAGAAGCCAAAAGGCTGGTGTCACTATCCATGTGGATCTCCTTGCAGCAAGGCAGACGAGAACTCGAATTTAGAAAGTATCCAAAATGGAGGAAGTATTGGAAAATTATAAGGAAAAAAGATAATCTCGAGCATAAAGAAAGACTCGAATGGGAACGTAAATTCTTGCACAAACTTATGATAAAATTTATGACGATATTGGAAACGATTCCTGCAGAAGGTATTTATGAGTATCTTTCTACATATTATCCAATTAAATTTTATATGTATTTTTAGAAAAATATATTTCTCGATTTTTTAAATAAAGCCAAAAAGGACCAGAATGCAAAAAGTGATTTCAGTCAAACTGACTGAAATCATGATATTTTGCAGTTTATAAGATCCTGATCAAAAGTCTATAAGCAAAATCATAAAAATAAATAGATTTTTCTATAGCACCATTTGAAAAAATTACCATTTTGAGTTTAATTAGACTAAAAAGTATTTTTATCTACAGTTTGTTTTTTTAATTGTATAAGCACTTAATATAACATTCTTTATCTATGGTATAATTTTTTAATTGTACTTGTGTTTAGGCATATACTTAAAGGAAAGTTGCCGATACTGACATAGGTCTCCTAAAGTAACACCCCCTTATTTTTCAGAAACTAGCTATTGCACTTTATTAATACTAATAAAATAATGATTTGTTTAGCTAATTAAAGAAGTACAAACTCATAATTCATATATTTGTGGCTTATTTTTATACCAAATCAGCTAAAAATCAATTCTATGAATCCAAGAAGAAAATTCTTACAGTGTTCTTTTGAAAATTGCGTAATTAAAATAATAGTGACTGTATTATTGATAATATTATGTCATTTTAAATGTTTATAGTTTCATAAATTAGTTTTCTTTACAGATTAGGATATATCTTTATTTATAAAATAGGAATGTTGGTATTATTACCTACTATGTCAGTTTTGGAGCGCATTTTGTCAGACGCTCATTTTTGCATAACTTACGAAATACTTAATTATTGCAAAATTGCAAACAGTATTATAAAAATTGCTTATACTATCTGATAGAAGATACTTTTTACTTTGTATTTATGTTTTTGAAGTTATATTTTTACCTTTTGTTTAAGAAATATTGTCTAAAAACAAAGTGGTATGTCGGTATCGGTGACCTTCTTCTATATATATCCAAACATAATAATGTCAAACATTAAATAGCCATTGACACAGATATTCACGTACCGACAAATATTTACATTACACCCATTCTATCCTTCTTTCTTGTACACACTGAGAAAAACCTACTTATAATTAGTAATGGAAACCAATATGATTAAATATGTATTTAACTTAACTGCATAGATGCTTATATAATGACAAAACAAATTGTAATATAAATAAGTTTTTTAGCAAAATTAGACCCAACATTTTAACTTTCAATGATGCTATAGTAAATATCTGTAGAAGCAATCAATATCTCATAAGCTACAAAACATATCATAGTTTCAACCAATTTGACTGAGATCCCTTTTTTCATATATTAGTGTGAGTCTGTTAACTAAATCTTGTTAGCAATAAAATTAAGAATTTCAAACTTATCTTCAATTAACAACTTTATATGGTTTTAATAGGACCTGTACTTCCGGACAAAGTGCGTTACTGCGAGAGATTTTTGGAGCTGGTCATCGACCTCGAGGCTTTACTTCCTACCAGACGTTTCTTCAATACTGTCATGGATGACAATCATCTGGTGGTGCGTTGTCAGTTATCTAATCTGCTGCATCGTCCAGAGGGAAGTTTGTTCGGACAGGTAAGTCGTCGCAAAATGTTTGCTAAATATGTTTGTTATCGTAAAATATATAAATAGGGCAGGTTAAATAATTTATAATCTACGATATTGATTCGAATATTCATTTAGCGAATTTAATATCTCTCTCGTACAAAAAATCGATTTACTATATAGATATAAATATTAAACACAAATACCGTTAAAAGTAT